CAAAAGCCCGGCTAGTGACTCTGGAGGTACTGAACTTGATATAATTGATACACAAGGCACCCTTCAAGTAGAAAGGTTAGAATAAAATTGCTTTTATTACCATATATTGCACTCTGTTTACAAATGTAGATAATTACTTAAAAGATACTTATTATAGCTGTATTCAGAAGCATAGACATGTAGACAATATGCTTCTGCTTTATTTTATTGTAAGGGGTTTCTTTTTATGCAACATGTATCCATCCTTTAATTTCCTCCTTAACCTGCTTGCAAATAATTGAATTTTATGTTTGAATTCAAGATAAAACAGAAGTCTTGCAGAGTTCTCATTCGAGATGGAATTCAGGTGAGAACATCAGTAAACAAGTTAAAATCATATGCTTCTCCTGAATCTTTAATTTTATTGCCCTGGTTTTTTTCAGAAACCCTATTTTATATCTCTGTGTGACAGCTAATGATTGAAACCTCAGTGAATAGATATGCTATATTTTAGTAGTTTTTTAAATTCCATCTTTTTGTTTTTGGCATTAACTATTTTAAAATTCATAAACGGCATTCCCTTTTCATCCTTGTAAAGAGATATTGCACATTTCTTTAACTAAAATATGAATCATGAAGTCAACTTAATTTCAATGAGTTTGAAAATTCATTCTACATAAGAACACTTTACTGGTGTATACTCTTATATTTATTTGCTGCCTTTCTGTTACAAATAATTACCATATGTGTCTCAACCCTTTAACTCCCAAAATTTCATTAATAATTCTCCTTACTGTCTGCCATACAATTTATGTGATGTTAAATTTGAGAATTTGGAATTGGATCAACCAATAGTCCTCAAATTGATATTTGTCTTAATTCTTGTTACTTGTCTGCTTTATGTCATACTAATAGTGTAAGGAGAAATTCTGTCTAGGTTAACAGTGGGACTTAACCCTTTAACTCCCAAGATCTCATTAGTAATTCTCCTTACTATCTCCTATACAGTTCTTGTGATGTTAGTTTGGAGGATTTAGTATTGGATCATCTGATAATCCCCTAACTGATATTTTTCTTTATTCTCATCACTTGTCTGTTTGATATTGTTTTGATATTGTAAGGAGAAAATCTTTCTTGGTCACTTATGGGAGTTAAAGGGTTAAAATGGGGGATTTCAACATATTGTAATGATTAAAATATTCCTATGCTTTCAAATGTACCAGTAACAAAAAAATGTGATGATAATCTGATGATATGAAACACTTGCAATGGAAAAACCTGTTGCTGGTAGCTTATGTCTTTAATGCTTAAATTTTCATGGGAAATGCTTTTCTTTGAAAGTGGGGATACAGAAGTTTTTAAAGCTGATAGAAGTAAGCTGTTTGCAAGTAATAAAAGGCAAATTGACGATCATATCTTAATGCTTGACATTCTTCACTCATACATGTCAGTTGTGTGTACCTACCATTGTAGAGGTGTATTTAAAAAGGTTTCTTTTTTGTTACACAAGGCAACCTTCAGGGTGAAAGAGTAGAAGACCACAGAATGATGTTTAGTTGGCATTTGTACTTAATGCAATCATATATTCAAGCAGTACTCTACATATATATAACTGATTACATGATGTCTTTAACCCTTTACACTCCAATATCAGAATGCATATTCTCCAAACTGTTCTCTATATATTTCCTTATGTGCTGGCAAGGAGAATTTGTTTAACAATCAAGAGGTTCTTCAGTTGATTATCATTTCCTTTACTCTCATGACCTTAATGTGTGACTCAGAGGTGATATTGAATGGAGAAGTTAGATGCTAGTCATTCTCAGGGATTAAAGTGTTATTAGCTTTACACATTTTCATGTATATGCTCCTTGCATTTGTTGGCAACAATAGCTAAGATTGTTAGGAAAGCAAACAAACAAGTGAACAGAAGATAGTGAAATGATGGAAACTGTAAACTTTACCATGTGATAGAAAACTAGCACAGAATACTTACAGAGGGGAAACTTTTCCCCAATTGCCATTCATGTTTTTGATCAAATGAAATTTAACCCTTTAACTCCCAGTTCAAATTTGTAATTCTCCTTACTGTCAACTATACAATTCTTATAATGTTAGTTCTAAGAATTTAGTATTGGATCAACCAAAACTAAACGGTGTTTTAAACTCAAAACAAAAAACATGCTCTTTCTTTAAGCTGGTTATGAATATGCAAGTTCTCGGGGGCTGTATTGTTTTGATGAAACAAAAGGCTTCTTTTGTTTCGGCTTCATTCAATGAAAGCCGCTGCGAAATTCAAGGTTTTTTGCATACGTTATTTCTCGAAAACGAAGCGCAAACCAGCGAAAAAAAAACCAAAACAGTGTATATCGAGTAAAACTAAGTCCACATGCCAAAATTCAACTACTTCTGAACACTTTCAAAAATGGCCAAAAAATCAAGGGGTCGTTCTTGCTCTGAGCCTTTCAATTATTCTCAAGTTTATATTTTTCTGTGGTGTTTTTGGTGTTTCTTACCAATG